CCCAAACCCTAGACATGGGTCTCTTCGGCAGCAGCTCCGGTAGCGGCAAGGGCACCCCCGGCGCCTCATCCTCCCGTGCTCCTCCTCCCCCCCTCCTCTGCCGCCGACGTGTGCCCGCTCAGGTCGGCATCGTCTGCACATCCCGGTGCACCAAGCGCGGTGGCACTGGGAGTACAGGCAGGCGCTGCCTTACCTCGACGTGACACCGTCGCACCACTGGCACCTCGATCCGCCGCAGATCCCGATGCCGGCAGTTCCGCCGACACAACGGGCGCATGACGAGGAGGTGCACAAGCGCCAGGCGCAGCTCACGCCGGCGCAGCGGCGGATGATCGAGTACACCGCAGACTCTCCCAACTGGGAGGCCTGGTTTGCCCTCGGACACAAGGGCAACGACGGCTCGGCGTCCCACATCAACCACGACCTTCCACCGCCGCCCCTGCCGATAGAGCCGGAGGAAGAGGAGGCGAAGACAGAGGTAGAGTACGAAGCCGCCCTCAAGGAGGCCCTGCAACACGCGCTAGAGGCGAGTCGGCTCGAGGAGGACGCCCATTGGGATGGGCTGGAGTATACCTGGCCATTCCTCGGGCCGGGCCGGGCTTCGGGCCGGGCCAACCAAAGCCCGACGCAAAAAACCCAGGCCCGAGCCCGGCCCGGCCCGGCCATCGGGCCCGAGCCCGGCCCATCACACTAAAAGCCCGTCGGGCCTCAGGCCACGGGCTGGGCCTCTTCCTTAAATGGCGAAATTGACGGGCCCGGGCCCGACCCGGCCCGGGCTTCGGACTCAAAACCTAGGCCCGAGCCCGGCCCATGGACAAGGTTGGGCCGGGCCGGGTCGGGCTTTTTCGGGCCGGGCTGCCCATGGCCAGGTATAGGCTGGAGCAAGCCCTTGTTTTGTCCGCGGCGGGGGACTCCGTCCAGGCGCCCCTGTTTGTGCCGCCACTGCTGCCCCTCGTCAAGCCTAAGGCCGAGCCAGAACGCGAGCCAATTCCCACGCGCAAGTGGGTGAGCGCGCCTCCCTGCCACTACGTTGCCACGCCGAAAGAAGAGGCGACCCACCTTGAGCGCTGGAAGGCGCACTGGATCGCCGAGGAGGGGGCCGACGGCGAACGACAGATGCAATATGAGCGGATGCTATGCCGTGACGAGGAGGCTCTGCGGCTTGAGGAGGAGGAATGCATCCACCTCGCCGCTATGCTGCCGTCGCAGCAAATGCCGGAGGTGGTTGTCCTGCGGCCTATCAAGCCGCATTCGGTTGGGCTGGGCCTACCCCCGTCTTCATTAACCTCACCGGCGGACGAGGACGGCGATAGCAAGGCCAAGGCAATTTACTAGGGCAGTGTGCGGGCAGTTTATTTCTTTTTTGTTTAATTTTCTAGTTGTTTAAGTGGACTTTTACGTTGGAGTTGGAGTTGCTCTTACGTCTCCAAATTTGCATCATCTATTGGAGCTCCACGCATTTCCCCAGGATTATAGTACTGTACTCCTTCTCTCTCAGTTTATAAGGTGTGTGCGTATCCCTATGTCGTCAATTTGATCAACCTAACATAAGTCATATATAAAAAAAACATATTACCATTATAAACTTTAGATGTTCTATTTTCAAACGGTATAATTTTTGTATTATATAGTTTATATTAATTTTTGGTCGCACGTGATGAATGAAGGTAATTGTACCCACATTGATTGGAATTAATTAAATGGTGGGATTAGGACAGGCTGCGGAGTGGAGCAGATGAGAGCAGAGGAGCAGAGCAGAGTCCCACAAAAGCAGCAGAGCACACCACCTCACCTCACTCCTCCCCCCTCCCCCTCCCCCTTTCTTCTCCCTCCAAAAACCGACATCTCCACCCTCCAAACACCACCACCATCAACTGCAGCCCAGTCCCAGTCCCAGTCCCAGTCCCGCCAGAACCGCGAGATCCGATCCGACTCCGACTCCGGGCAGCAGAGTTGGCGCCACGGAACCGGAGCTCGCCGCTGGCCTGTCCTTCCCGCCTGCCGTTTGATCCTCCCGGTTCGTGAAACCTTTCCTCCCCGCTCGATCCATGCCCGGGAGGTGCTCGTTCTTGCCCCCGAGATCCGTCCGGCCCGCCCCGAGCAGCGGGATCTCTCCGTGATCCTCGTCTTGGCCTTCTTCCCCGGCCCGAAGATCCGGGATTTCCTTTTCCGGTTCGGTTTCGCCAGCGTGCGTTTCGCCGGAGCGCCGCTGCCGCCGCCGGGCATGGCGTACGCGTCGCCGTACGTGCTCTCGTTCCTGCTGCTGCTGTCCATGCCGGCGGTCTACTACCTCGGGCCGCGCCTGCTGCTGCCCAAGACGCTCCCGGCCATCCCGGACGCCGACGAGACGGAGGACCTCGCGCTCTTCCGCCGCGCCGTGCTCCTCTCGGCCGCGCCCGCCGCCGGCTCCGGCGCGGCGCCCTCCTCCTTCGGCGTGTTCGGCCGCCGCCCGCAGGCGCGGCCCAAGGTGGCCTTCCTCTTCCTCACCAACTCCGACCTCGTCTTCGCGCCGCTCTGGGAGAAGTTCTTCGCGGGGCACCACGGCCTGCTCAACCTCTACGTCCACGCCGACCCCGCCGCCAACCTCACGCTGCCCCCGACCCCGTCCTTCCGCGGCCGCATCATCCGGGGCAAGGCCACGGCGCGCGCCTCCGCCACGCTCATCTCCGCCGCGCGCCGCCTCCTCGCCACCGCGCTGCTCGACGACCCGGCCAACCAGTTCTTCGCGCTGCTCTCCCAGTCCTGCGTCCCGCTCCTCCCCTTCCCCGCCCTCTACCGCACCCTCCTCACCGACAACAATGCCGGCCGCCACCGCCGCCACCGCAGCTTCATCGAGATCCTGGACAGCGAGCCCACGCTGCACGCCCGCTACTACGCGCGCGGCGACAACGTGATGCTCCCGGAGGTGCCCTTCGACCGCTTCCGCGTCGGCTCCCAGTTCTTCGTGCTCGCCAGGCGCCACGCCGTCATGGTGGTCAGGGACAGGAGGCTCTGGAACAAGTTCAAGGCGCCGTGCCTCGTCAAGGAGAAGGACTCGTGCTACCCGGAGGAGCACTACTTCCCGACGCTGCTCGACATGCAGGACCCCGACGGCTGCACCAAGTACACCCTCACCAGGGTCAACTGGACCGACGCCGTCGGCGGCCACCCGCACACCTACCAGCCGGAGGAGGTCTCCGGGGACCTCATCAGGGAGCTCAGGAAGTCCAACGGGACCTACTCCCACATGTTCGCGCGCAAGTTCGCGCCGGAGACCCTTGCGCCGCTCATGGAGATCGCCGACTCCGTCATCCTCCGTGACTAGGCGCCAAGTGTTCGTGGACATGAACAGAACAAGGTAAGGAAGAGATATATCATCCCTTTGGTGACTTTTCTTCTTAGAATTTTCATTTCTGCAATGCAAAGTCTTAGTATCAGGTTTTAGTTACTTTTTAGTAGACATTTCAGCTGTGCCAAGTCTCATCAGTTCTTTAGGCATTTCAGCTGTGCCAAGTCTCATTAGATTGCACTGCAAGTTACAATGAGAATGAGCAATAAGTTAATCTGATTTGGTAGCCATTTTATATCACAGTGTCTTTAATTCAACGCAAGTGTCCTTATCTTGCAGTTACAGATAGATAGCATCAAAGGATAGCATTGTGTTGCAGTGAATACTAGTACTAATAAAAATGGTGTCTTAGTAAAAGGATGCTGATGATATTGTTCGGGTGTCGGGTGTCAGTTGGTGAACGGAAATCTCACAACAATTCTCTATTTTGTCCTTGCAGGGTTGGTGATGTGATGAAGAAGCATAAGCTGGTCCATCCATCCCCTTTGTGGTTTCTTCAGGGAGGAGCAAACCAGCACCAAACCTACTTCGCCTTGTTGTTCCGTCGCTGGCCGTCGCTCGGCGAAGGGGATGCTGCTGCTTGCTCAGACTCAGAGAGTGATGTGGGTGTTGGTGGCGAAGTGCCCCGACTGCCTCTATCCTATGTGAGTATTGTTGTGTTTCTTGGTGTTTTTCCTTTCCACTTTGATCCCGAGCGAGAGGAAGTCGTCGGCACGCGGTAGGCGTGTCGCTGGTAGTTAGCACGGATGATCATCCTATGTATTCACAACGGAGGCAACCTGTCGATACATGTAGTGATGGTTTTTGTAGTATATGTTATCCCCATGTTGTCATTGTCAATATCACACACCTTTTCCTCTAAAAATGTATCATCATCTGTATCATGGCACCACTATCTTGTTGCTTTGAACCCAAGTTGCTTATATTCTTTCCGGCTTTTAGGTGGCAACCGCACCTGCCTTAGCATGTACTCACTCCTAGTTGATTAATCCTGAAAGAGCTTACTGGGCAATCTTACACCGAATTGCCGACCAAAACAACATGCTTGTCAAGCAGCATCTAACAACCCACTACAGAATCAAGGTTGCGCTGTTACATCGACCGATCCACCGATCTTGTAACCCCCCCTTGGAAAGTTTCGGACATTTGGAAAATATCCCGAAATATTTGGAAAATTTAACTGAATCTGCTTGTTGTGAGGTGCGTTTGGAACCGAAACGGTCGGTGTTAAGAGGTGGTCACTTACCTGTCCTATAGATTTAGGCTAAAGGAAAGATGATTCCTGCACTTTTGTTTTCCCATGCTTTGCTCTCTTTGTTCCCCCCCTTTCCTCTTGTTTTATTGTCCTTTTAGTTGCTTGCTGGTGAGGAGGTTGGTGCATGGAAAGGGACACTGGGCTCCATATTATCATTATCATATATGCTAAGTAGGCTCGCTCAGGACATGGCAACCATAAAGTCAGCAACTTTGTCCTTGGGAGAAGATTTTGTGTGTTAGTTTTGTTGAAAGCAGCATGATGATGATGATAATACTACTAGCACGGGCCACGTTTTCTTTAATGAAAATGGTAGTACCACGGTGTCCTGCTGCATATATTAAATTGCAAAGTATTTTTCATAAAGGAGAAAGAAAAAAACTTGGGATTTGCTTGTCTATCTAATCCATCAGTAGGCAAGCAGGGGCCATGTTGTCAATCTCTGTTAATCTAGTGGCGTAGAGATGCTGCTAGACTAACAGGTGGTGGTGACTGGTGAGGTGCTGCAGCAACAGCAACAATATGCTGTAACATTCCAACTGTAACCTGACTATGATGTACTACCTCTGTCTCTAAACATAAGAATGTTTCGACAGTTTAAATTGAACTGCCATATATATTTAGGAACAGAGGGTGTAATTCATGTGAAATTCATGAGCATGCCTTCGGATTGTGATGTTTTTAGATCTGAAGTGCCTACTGTCGAGTCATCTTCTGGCGATGCAGGATAGAATTCTGGTGTTGCCTTTCTGCCATACTTGTCATGAGCGCATGTTATGTGTACGCCATCAACTCTTGTGTGTTCTAGCTCCAGGAACTGACATGGATGTGGAAATGGTGTACTTGTTTTCCCTTTGGTGATTATTGGGGTGGCAGTGGGTGGTGGTGGCTGAGATGATGATGCTTCACTTTCACAGGCTGAGCTCTCCGGAATAAATGTGGTGGGCGCAGTGCGAAATTGACAGTTTGTGCAAGTGCCCTTTGGCACAAGACAGTACTCCCTCCGTCCGGAAATACTTGTCATCATAATGAATAAAAGGGATGTATCTAGATGTATTTTAGTTCTAGATACATATCTTTTTATTCATTTTGATGACAAGTATTTTCGGACGGAGGGAGTAATAACTCAGTTACAGGGCCGTTTTGGCTCCTGGGAGCATTTGCTCCAGGATAAACAGTAAATCGGAAAATGTGGTAAAATATTTTTAGAAAATTCTGAATTTGCTTGTGGATGTCCGTGTTAGTGTCGCAAGCAACAAGCATGCTTGACAATTTTCATGCGAAACGGAGCAGTAGTGCTTCGTCGGTGAACAAAACAAATTTGGGGTGATATTTGGCGTTCAGTTTTCGTTTGCACAGGCGAAAATGTTTGACCTTTTTCCCTGAAACTTTGTAGGTAGCATTTGGATGTGACTATGAATACATAAAAAAAATTGACAATTCAAAAATCCTTTTTCACGCGCAGGAGCACGTGCTCCTGGGAGCCAAATTGGATTTGCGAGTTGCAGAGATATTTGAGAGAATCACCATTAATCTTACATAAAGAGGTTGGACGATCATACGACTATTGAAAAATCATGGTCGAATTTCAGACGAAGCCTTATTTTGCATCAAGCAGAAAGAATTAGGAAAGACAGTTAAATATTACAACATTACTTAGCATCTCCGTAACTTATGTCTAGGGATTATTTATGAACTTTGATGTTACAAAAAAGAAAAAGAAACATAAGTAACAAAATTTGGTTATTCCTTTTTCTATCATTGATGCCATTCTGTAGTAATACCAGCAGCATGACAGACACATCAGGTGCAAGTTCTAGAAACCACTCCGGGCACTAACAGGGCAGTAAAATCACAATTTAGCCCAATAAATTATACTACAGTGCTAGACATAGCTGGCTAATAAGTAGCGAACGCTGTGGTTGGCTGGTTAGGTGGATAATGGTATTCCCAGCCCATCAAGGTTCAAGTTATGGTGCTCGCATTTATCCTGAATTTATTTCAGAATTTTTGGATGATATGCCGCTTCGAAGGTGCTTGTGTCTATACCGATGTTAAAAAAAAGTAACTGCCAATAATTCACCTAAAAAAGTAATGCAAATGCTATGTCTCGCTTTGGGGAAATCCGATTCGCTAACAACCTAGGACGAGTCGCCTGCTGTGTCTACGTTCTTTTTTTCATGTTTTGTTGTGCGCCAAAAGTAACACTAAAATAAAAGACTTTGTTTTTCCTTTTATTTCGGTTTAATGAGCCAGTTTTCCCCCTTTTATTTTTTTTCCTGATTTTCTTAAATGCGTTAGTTTTTTAATAATTCGAAAACATTTCAAATTCATGTTTTTTCTCAATTTTGTGTATCCTTTTCAACTTCACAAACTTTTCTTAAAAAATTTCACGAAGTTCATTCAAATCCATTGTTTCATTTTTTATTTTCAAAATATGTGAACTTTTTCAGATTTTATTTTCAAAAATCCCTGATCTTTTTCCAAATCCAAGAATTTTTTTAGAACCTATGAACATTTTTCAAATCTATAAAAAAATCATAACAAAGGCACTTTTTTTAAATCCATGAACTTTTTTTCAAAATCGATCACCATTTTTAAAAATTAGAGAACTTTTTTTTTTCAAAATTGATGATTTTATTTGCAAAGTTGATGAACTATTTTTAATTTTTGTAAACTTTATTTCAAGATTAATGATTTTTCTTCAAAATCGACGACCATTTTCAAATCGATTAGCATTTAAAAAAATTTATTAACTTTTTCAAAACTGATGAACTTTTTAAAAATAAATTGTGATTTTTAACCAAAAAGTATAAATTTCCAAAACTTTGAAGTCAGATTTTTTTGGAGTCACATTTTTTCCAACTTTCTTTTTTTGACTTTGGTTCTTTTGTCGTGGTTTTTGAAATAATCAATGATTAACTGGTCGACTGGTGAACTGTCGACCGCTCAATTGATTATCGAGCGAACCGCAACCGGGGGTCCTATACGGCGCGCAAGTCGCCCACGACCGACCTGGCGCACACTAGCGTTTGTATGGGCCGGTCCGTTTTCCTTTTTCTTCCTTTCTTTTTCCGTTTTTCTATTTTTTTTCTTCCTTTTCTGTTCTGTTTTCCTTTTTATTTTGTATTTTTTTCTTATTTTATTGTCACCATTTTTTTTGCTAATTTTCGTTTCAATTCCAAGAAAAACAATTGTTCATCAAATTGAAAAAATGTTCATCGAATTCGTTTTTTCATTGGATTTAGAAAATGTTATTCAAAATTCAAAAGTTGTTCATCGAAGTAAAAAAATGTTCATAAAATTTCGAATTTGCTCGTCATTTCAAATAATGTTCGTCAAATTCAAAATTTATTCATTTAATTAGAAAAATCATCCATTTTTCAATAAAAATGTTCTTGAATACAATTGTTTCATCAAGTTCAAAAAATGTTCATTGAATTCAACATTTGTTCATCAAATACAAAACAATGTTAATCATTGTTAGGAAGTTGTCATAAAAATTTGTTCACCAGAATAAGGAAACGTTCATTAAATTTAAAAAATGTTCATTCTTTTGAATCACGAACATTTTTTAATTTGAGAACTGTTTTTATTTTTTTGAAATTTGAGAACCTTTTTGTAATCTCAAATTATTTTAACATAGAATAAAAAAAAGAAAAAAGGAAAAGTAAAAATGAAAACGAAAAAAAGGGAGCGTCTAATTGGGGGCCAGCCAAAC